GGAGCTGAGGTAGCCTGGGGACTGGAGGGTCTATTCTGTGAGGATGGGGACATATTGTAGGAGGTGGCCCTCTCCCTGACATAAGGCTTCAGGAAGCTCATGATTGTGAAGTACTTCCAAATTATTTTCTGCTCTGCCCCTGCACCACTCTTCTTTTCTCTGACTTTCTTCCCCCTTAATATAACTGTCCCTGAGATTTTTCCAGGTGTTTTTACATTCGTCATCTATTAAAGTGGAGAAAATATGTCGTTTAAAGATGAAAATATGTTTTAAGACATCCCAACCTGCAAAGGATCATTTCCTCTATACCCGCTTTGTGTGAGTGTGTGTTTCGAAGGGGCAGACCGAACGCTAGCCTGCTTCGATGCTTTGATTCTATTGATTGCGCGAAAATGCGTCACGGCGCGCACCGGTCAAAGTTCAACAAATTTCAACTTTGACCGCGGTGCGCGCACAAGGCCGCAAAATCGCTCTTGCACTGCGCAAGCCATAGAGAATAATAGGTTTCAGAGCAAAGCGCAGCGCATGCCGCGTTCGGTCTGAAACCCGCTTAACAAGTGTGGCTTAACAGTCTTGCTCAAGGGCCCAGTGGAATCTTGAAGTCTTCCTACGTATAATGTGCAATGGGACAATACATGAATGGGTTAATGACTTTAAAACTAGACGAGACAGGCACATCTAGTGAAGTGTGCTTTGATCAGTGGACTACAGGGAACAATGCACACCCCTTGGATTTTCAGATTATATTTGTCTGTAATAGTTATTAATTATTGTATTGCATCCATTTAAAGTGCAATGGGGCAACACAATAAAGGGTTAATAGTTAAAATCAGAGGACTCTGGGGGACAATGCACACCCCTTAGATTTTCAGAATAACTTTCACTCTAACGGCTATTAATTAATACATTGTATGCATATTAGGGGTGTAACGGTTCACAAAAATCACGGTTCGGTTCGATACGGCACAGTGGTGTCACGGTTCGGTATGTTTTCGATACAGCAAAAAAACAATTTTTCATTTCATTGATTTTTTTCACTTTTTTATTTATTAAAACATCAAAAAAGTATGATCTTGTTTTTTTCTTTTACTTTAAACAATGATGAAGCTATTCTTCACCCATCTTCTGAGGTTTCTTTTGAGCAGCAAATAAAACAAAACCTCCTTTATAACCAAAACCAAAAAGCTCCTGATAAAAAAAATTAATTTAATTTTGTAGTAATTATAAACTAACAGAAAGAAAAGAACAATTTTGTTTGTATATGGTACTCAACTTCAATCAATTTTTAAGTTTTTTTTCCAGAAAGATGAGTGTGTCCACATTTTATCCACCAATCTCTTGCCATCACCCTCATAACTTACAGGGAAACCAAAGTGCTCCCAAACTCCAGACCTGTTTGATATAGGAGGATACTTTATTTCTGGTCTGATACTTGCATTAACGTTACTAGCCATTTTGCAACGAGCT